GGGGGGCAGTGGGAGCGTCTGTGGGGTCCCCAGGGGGTTTTGGGGTCCCTGTGGGGGGGTGAGGTGTGTTTGGGGCGGGGTTGGGGGGGGTCGAGGGGTTTCACCTCTCTCTCTTTCCCCAGGAGCTGAGCAGGAATTCCCCCCGTGGTCCTGGGGGGTTCTTAGGGGTCTTTGGGGCTCTGGCCTGGGGCCCTTTTGGGGGTCCCCTCCCGGTGCTGCTGCTCCTGCGGAGACCCCAGAACAGGCTGGGGGGAGCCGGGGGGGCCGCCTGTGGGGGGCTCTACGGTGGGCACAGGGGAGCACTGGGAGAACTGGTGGGGTAAGGGGGGGAGGATTTGGGTGTTAATGGAGGGGCACTGGAGAAGATTTGGGGGAAACTGGGGGGATTTGGGGTCAGTGGGGGCACTGGGGCGTTATTTGGGGGAAGGGGGGTAGTAGGGCAGAATGGGGGTGGGTTTGTCGAGAACTGGGGGGGATTTGGGAGGCTCCAGTGAGGAGCTCCGGGGGGGCTTGGGGGGGGCCCTGACATCCCCCTCCCCTTCCCCCCCAGTCCTGGGGTTGTGGATTTTCCACGGTGCCACCACCCAGAGGAGACTCTTCAGCCGTGACCCCCGAGACCCCCGAGTGGCCGGTGAGACCCCCAAGCCTGGGACCCCCAAACTGCCGAGGATCCCCAGATCTGGGACCCCCGAGCCCGGGGGCCCCACAAACTCCTGTTTCCCCTGCAGGGCTCCCCACAGTCCCCACGGCCACGGGGCAGGTGCTGCTGGCGGGGGGCTGGTGGGGGCTCGTCCGCCGGCCCGACCACCTCGGGGAGCTGCTGATGGCGTTGGGCTGGACCCTTCCCTGCGGTGAGACCCCCTCCCCCCGCCCCTCCTTCTGTGGGGTCCCCCCCAAAACCCCGTGTCCCTCCTGAGCCCTCCCTGACACCTGAGCCCTGCAGACACCTGCAGGTGTCCCCTGAACCCCCCAGACATCTGCCTCCCCCTGCCCCCCCCCGGCATTTGGGCCTCCCCCAGCCCCCTCAAACCTCTGGATCTCCCCGAGCCCTTCCCCAACACCCAGACCCTCCCCCACCCAATAGCCCCCCACAATCGGGCTCTCCATGTCCCCCTGAGGCCTGTGACCCCCCTGACCCCCCCTTGTCCCCCCAGGCCTGTCCCCGCCGCTGCTGCTGCTCCTGGCGGGGGCTGCGCTCCGGGAGCTCCGAGCGGTCGCGGGGGAGCGGCAGCAGCTGCGCCGCTTTGGGGAGGCCTGGGGGGGGCTGTGCCAGCGCGTCCCCCACCGCCTGCTGCCCCTTGTCTACTGAGGGCTCCTCCGAGACCCCTAGGAGGGACCCTCTTGGGATTCCCCACATCCACTGTGGAGCTCCCAGTTCCCCTGCTCCCATCTACTGAGGCACCTCCGGGACCCCCACCACCATTTTCTGACACTGTCGGGACCCCTCAAATCAACTGAGGGACCCCCTGGGACTCCCCCAGGACCCCCTCCCAACTTCTGCGGGGCCTCCAGGTCACAGAGGGTTCCTCAGCCCCGTTACTGTGGATCACTTTGTAATAAAGTCTTGGCATCTCCCCACCTTTCCTGGCTTTTTTAATGCCCACGTTCATTGGTGCCCCCAATCTTGCCTTCACTCATCAGTGCCTCCCTCATTAATCAATGCCTGCGCTCATCAGCACCCCCTTTTATTAATTAGTGCCCCCTTCATTAATCAGCACCCACATTAATTAATTAATCAGTGCCCACACTCGTTAATTACCACAAGGAACTTGTTTGGGGTCCGTTCATTCCCGGATGTTCTTTAACCAGGTCGTTAAGAAGGAAGGTCGCTCCCGATTCCGTTTCTTTGGGATCTGGTTATTCCCATCCCTTACTGCAGCTTTCCCACCCTTACCTTAGGCCAGAGCCTTAATTAATTCAGGGTCTCTCCTAATGGTATTTCACCACCCGTTAGTCCCGTCCTTAATGAGTCCCACTCCTTGGTGAAGGTCCCAGCACTTGTTTGTGGAATGTTTTTTAGTCCTGCCCCTTAACGAGCAAGTCTGGGTCTGGTTCCTTGGCTCTTCCTTAGTCTGGATCACTGAGGAGCAGGTTCTCTCCTGAATCCCCTCTCCCAGCGAGTCCTGTTCCTTGAGTGCCATCATTCCTCGGACTGGTTTGCTGGATGTGAGCGGGGTCTCCTCCGCCAGGATCTCCCCGGTCCCACGGCTGAACGCGAGTCACTCCAGGCACAGTTCCCTTGGCCGTTCAGTGGTCCTGTCCCTTCCCAGCAGCTTTCCCGGGCCCGGTTCCTTCGGACGTTCACCAGCGGATTCTCTCCCCGGGACGTTTCCTTGGGGTCTCCCCATCTCAGTCCAGCTCCTCGATCAGCCGCCGACCCTGCGCCCCCCCCTTGTCAGCACCGGCACCCGGGGGCGGCCAGGGACCCCCGGGAACCTCCCCGGCCGCCTCCCTGAGCGGCCGGGCCCCGTCTGTGACCATCCAGAGCGCCCCATCCACCCGCCCCTCCCTGGAGGGCGGCCGGGGGCTTCCCCACATCTTCTCCAGCCCCTCCCTGATTTGGGCCACCACCGCCTCCTCGGCGGCCACCTCGGCGTGAACGGCCCGCGCCTCCTGGGCGAGCTGGGGGAGCTCCTCGGTGGCTCCCCGGCTCCAGCTCAGCAGGAACCCGACCTTCCTGCGGGCCTCTCGGAAGCGGCCCCGCTCGGGGGACGGCAGCGCCCGCGCCCCCGCCTTCAGCAGCCGCCACAGGTGCCACAAAGCCGCTGCCACGTCGGCGCCGGGGTCGCGACTGTCGCGACCCTCCAGCAGCTGCGCCACGGCCAGGAGCGCCCCGCTGTCGCCGAGGGGACTCAGGGGCAGCCCCGCGGCCCGGGCGTCCTGCCGGGCGCTCAGCAGCGCCTCGGCCGTGCTGGTGAAGGGGCGGCGGTCGCGGAGCGCGGCCGAGGCGGCGACGGCGGCGTCGGGAATCTCGGGGAGCAGCGTCTCGTCCCCGCCGTGCAGGCTCAGCGCGAAGGCGTAACCGAACAGCGCGTTCGGCAGCTGGAACCGCACCAAGGGAGACGGCGGCGCGGCGCGGAGGGCACTCAGCGGGGGCACCGAGGTCGGGACGGGCGGCGCGGGGCCGGGCCGACCTTCACCGTCCTCCTCCTCGGCCCCCGAGCCGTCGTCGACCTCCTCCACTCGTCCCCGCCCGCGCCACCACCACGGTCGCCACCGCGGCAGCAGCGCCGCGGCCTCCCCGGAACTCAGCAGCCGCCGGAATTCGTCGCGCTCCGCCTCGCTGAGCTGTTCCCACAGCCCGCGGCCCGTAGGCTCCGCTGGAGCCCCGGGCTCGAGTAGTTCGCGCAGCCCGGGCGGCGCGGGGCCCGGGGGGGAACAACGCTCAGCACGCAACGCCTCAAGAACCTGATCGCGGTAAAAGGCCTCGGCGCAGGCGCCGTGGGCGCGGTAGCAGCGCAGGGAGCAGAGGCAGCGGTGGCAGCGCGGGCACGTGTAGCGGGACGCGGAGACGCTGCAGACCCCGCACAGAACCGGCTCCGCCGCCGCCATCTCGGCGTCTGACTCCGCCCTTCCGGCGCCACAGGGCCCGGCCCGCCTCGCCCCGCCCCACGGAGGCGATTAACCAATCAGGGGCTGCGGCCCGGCTTTCCCCGCCCCCTCGGTCGCGTTCCGCCAATCTCTGCCGCTCGGCTCGGCCGCGCGCTCTCGCTGCGGCATTCGGCAATTTCCGGCAGCACTCGGCTCTTTTCCCCGCCCACCCGCAGCACCAGCTAATTAACGGCTAATTAATGAGCGCCCGAGCACAGAGCTGCCCGGGCCAGGAGGGACCGGGCCAGGTGATGCTCCGGGTGCGAGCTGAGCAAGAAGGGCTGGCGGGATCCCAAGCCGGCGGCGCCGCCTTCTCTGCAGGCTGCAGTGACATTTTATCACAGAGCCGTGTTTGCTGTTGTCATTATCAGCATCTCCTTGCTCGCTCTAATTTTTCACCACTCAAAGTTCCCCGACATCGCTCCCGGAGGCACCGCGATACCGGGACGGAGTGGAAGGAGCGAGCTTCGGAACGAAGCTGAGCATCAGAAGCATGGCTGATGTCGCGATAGAGTCACGACAGATCTCCATGTCGGCTGTAGAACATCTGTTGTTCCCGGGGGCACTGCAATACCGGGACGATCGCGGAGCGAAGGGACCAAGCTCCGGGTCCAACTCCCGAGCCCAAAACTCCGTTTAATATGAAGTCCTCTCATCGAGGACGTATCAGATATTAAACTGATAAGAGCAGATACCACACCTGAGCTTAGTGCTGACAGAGACCCTCGCACGCACTGAGCCCAACCCTGGCTACATCTTCTCGCCCTTGGTGGCACCCCCGCGCCGCACCCCCTGAACCCCGCAAATCTCCATGAATATCCCTCCCGGCAGCCTCTCCCTGGCCGCTTTCATTTAATTTAATTTCATTCCATTTCGTTTCCATAACCCTCCCTTTTTGACAACCCCGCCCCCCATTCTCCGCAAGCTGCGCCACCACTCCCCGCAATTTTCTTCCTGTGAAAGCCCCTTCAAATGAAGGGTCCCCTTGGTCACAAAAATTAATCCACAAACACCAGAGGTTTATGTCCAAAAAGGAGACTGAGGAGTCCTTTTACTTTATTCGAATAAAGGGAGAGGCCATGGGCCATTCCCGTGGGGTCTCTCGATTTTTGGAGGGTGCAGCCTCCCTTTTATCCGAATTTCCCAGCCACATCCCTCTCTCTTTCCCCATAGGCTGAGGTACCTGAGAAGTCGAGACTTCCCCAAATGCCTGATACCTAAGATTCCCCTCAAATGTATTACCCTCCCTCTTAATTTTTAATTCTTATGGAATTTATGGTGTTTCCTCAGTGCCTCTTTCATCTTTCAATATCCAGTCCCCCAGTTTGTTTGTAAAGGCAAATATCTTTTCCCATCAGTCAGCGATGGGATTTTCATCAATCAGTGGAATCCATCCCATTGTTTCTTTTATCTCTCAGTGATAGTTTCAGACCCACAGCTTGTTTGTAAAGACAAACCCGTCATTCCTCCCACCCCTGACAGAACCCTTAAATGGGAAATAAAGAGGTTCCTCTCAAGGGAAGCCCTTCAAAACCAGAGACAACCGTGTTTCCCTCTCAATTCAAACCCTGACCTGATGAAAAGGGGGTGCTTTGCCTCGATTCAAATCCATTGAACGGCACCACAAAGGTTTTCCCCTTTCACTTAAACCGGAAAATAATGCAAAATAGTGATTCCCTGTCTATCAAAACACCCCCAAATCACAAAAATGAGTGGTTTTCTTCAGTTTAAACCCTTAAAATTACAAGGGAAAAGGGATTCCCCCTTAATTAAATAAATGAAAAAAAAAGATAATTAAGGAAAAGGTGTTTTTTTCCCCTCCATTTCAACTCCTTTTCCTCTCAAACACCTTCCATTTTTCCGGGGTCACTGGGTTGCACTGGGGAGGGAATGGGGGAGCTGGGAACCGGGAGAGGATTGGGGAAGGCCAGGACAAACCCTGCACTGTTTGCAGTTTTAGGAGGCAGCACCTCGTTTCTCCCAGACTAAAATCACCAGGAACCTGGACTCTGACTGCCCTTGCGCTACCAGGTGCCACCTCTGAACTTGGCTCAGGCCATTGAGGGGTTGAGTTTGTTGGGGAAGATGAAACAGGGAAACCTTGTGAATATGATTGTTTAACAAAAGATTCTGAAGGTATGAGGCCTAGAATTGAAATAGAAATGAAAGCCTGCTTTGAGTCATAAGATGCTGAGTACTGGTTACTATATAACCAAAGAACAATAGCCTAGCCAGCTAAAGGAGAATCCCTGCTGATAAAACAATGTCCTTCTGCTGATAGAGAATCCAAGAGAAAGCAAGGAAAGAACTTGTAAAGCTTTTTAGAGTTTAAAATGCAACACTGTATGTTAATATGGGGAAGCGCATAGGCTGTATGTAAATTCTTTAGTGGGTGTGTCTCATGGTGATTGGTTATTAAAAATTAGAATATTCATTATAGGAAACCATATAATGGACTGTAATAAGAGCTGCTCTCTTACTCCCTCCCTCCCCTTTTCCAACCTCTCCTCCCCTGCTCTCCCCGCTCTCTCTCCCCTTGATAGTAAAAAGTTCTAAAATCTTAGAAAATTCGGAGACTTAGAAAGAAAGTTAGGTTTGGAAAGCCCTGGGAAAAGTAGACTCTGAGAAATGTTAGGCCTTGTGCTTGCTAAAGATCAGGTCAAACTGTACCTGTGTAGTCAGTATATGATAAATGATACAATTGTTAGATGTGATCAGATATAATTATTGTTTAAAAACATGAGGAACAATGTTTGGGGGTTGAGGGGGGATCACAAGAAATTCATGCTTGGGTAAAAACAATGCATACAATAGAACAGTGTAAGTTTAATAATTAACATGTAAGTTGCATAACGATAGAGTATAAAATATGTTCAACTCAAAACCAAATGGGGTCAGATTTGGGTCTGTGTACCCCTGACACCCAGATCTCTTAATAAAGCACCTTCATATAATCATTCTTGATTATGAGTGTTCCTGAACGCTAACACCAGGACAACATCAGAACCCTCGAGGACAACAAGACCCACTGCAAAAAGATGGGGATGACATCTGCGGGCTAGGGAGCAACAGGAAGGGTCTGAAGGCTGAGCAGGTTTTTTTGAGATTTTCTTCAGGACTTCTAAAGATATTAATAGGATTTTTGAAAGGGTTTTCTTTTAATTTTCTGGGATTTTTTACTCATTGTTAAGGGATTTTTCATGGCTATTTTAGGATACTTCTGTGTGTTTTAAGGGTCAGGGTCAGAGGAGCTGGAAAAGAGATTGTTATAGATACATATATTGTTGGCTTTTTGCAAATATTAAAATGAATGTTATGTGTATAAGAATGGAAATTTTTGTTGTATTAATATAGTTTTCTTTATTTCTGTTATTGGTGAAACTTAGAAATAGTGGTATAATACATATTTGTTAGGCTATGACATAGTATTAAAATAAAAACTGCTTTTGTCTGTATAACCCAAAGACTGAAGAAGATAGCTGGAGACACTTTCTTTTTCCTTTTGTAAACTCTCTTATCCAGATGAAGACAGCAGTGACCAGAACTCTGGGGGGAGGAATTTATTGCATTTCTGGCATCAGAGAATGTAAATCTCGATGGCGCCAAGAAGATTGATCTATTGGGAAGGGGGCAAGAGAAAACTAAACAGAAGAACACCAAAGATCCTAAGAAGAATGTATGAATATGTATGAGAATTTATGGATATGTAGTAGGGTTCTGTTTTTAAGGGACAATCCTTTGTCAGTAAGGTGTGCTCTCTTGGCTGAATGCAGAGACAGCCGGCTGTATCTGTATACTTTATTTTTTTCTCCTAATTGTTTTTTTATTAAACTTTTAAATTCTATAAAAATTATGTGAACCTCGTTTTTCACAGGGATGCTGTTCATGCCCAGGGGCCCATGGCTGGGAACGGGCTTCTGCCTCCAAAAATTACGAACGGTTCTCCCAGGCACAAGGTGCTCCCACCTAGAACTCAGGCTGCCCTTGGCCTGCCGAACGCCTCTGACAATCTGACATCAGGATCCCGGGGGGATGAATTTGTTTCCCATGGAAAAGGGCTGCCGTTCGTGTCTGGGGGCCTGGTGGCAGTGAGTGAGCTTCTGCCTCCGAAAATTACGAGTGGAGCAGGATTCCTCCCGGACCCAAGCCATCCCCACACAGAACTCGGGCTGCCCTTGGAGTGCCAAACCCCTCTGACAAACTGACATCAGGAACCTGCAGCGTGAGTTTTCTTTCTCTTGGAAAAGGGCTGCCATTCGTGTCCAGGGGTCCGTGCCTGAGAGCAGGGTTATGCCTGCGAAATTTTTGAAGGGAGCAGGATTCCTCCCGGATCCAAACCACCCCCACCTGGAGCCGTCTGTGCAGGCCAGGGCCCCTCCCTGGGAAGGGCTTCAGCTGGAACTGGACCTGGAGGCTTCCCGGGAGGGGCCACAGCAGAACCCGGCCCGGCCTGGAGTGACCCCCCCCGCACCAGAGCTCTGCTACGTTCCGAGGCCACAAACAAAGAGAGAGAAGTTCCCGGGATTGGGTTTTAAAAAGTGATATTCACGGAGGTGATCTTACTTTTCAGTGGTGCAAAATTCCGTCAGTTCTCAGAACCGCCCAGCTATTGGCCTGAGAAACTCCCAGCAGCTTCCCTCAAAGAAATCACTTTCCGTGGGTGGTTCCCACTTCTTTCCCTAAATGCCAAACTACCACACCTTCCCTCCTGGCAGGGGAGGCCAGGTGATTAGTTTAGGACTAGACTAGTCCCCAGTGCTTCAAAGGAAGGTGCAAGAAAGCTCAGGAGTAGTAACTGCGGATTGTTTTATCCATCCACCTGTGGCTTACAGTCTCTATAGTTTTACCAGTGAATTTAAGCAATGGTTTGAGCTTTCAAAACAATCATTTCTGCACCAGTGCCACAAAGACTTCTGCTGAACTACAGATTTTGTAAGTAATTAAACTCTTGAAGTAACTTC